CTTCACTTCTACATGTTCTCTAGAGCACAAACTTTTAAAAAATAAATCTAGTGCTTCAAATCAAATTATAATAAAAATGCAATTTTAGAGTGCCTTCCCGAAAATCATCTGTAGTAATAGAAATTCATTTTGCTATTTCAGTTGCCTGAAAGATAAAGGAAGATACAGTAATTCTATTTCTGAAAATCATTTGCTTGTGAAGATGATTGCTAATATCATAAAGAGTTCCCTTTAGAAAAGATCTGATTCTCAGGTTTTTTATAAAATAGCAAATTAAATCTTGTCCATAAAATTAGTCAGATGAATTTGTTGAAAATAATGTCTGATTACAAATTAGTGTTTCACCAAAATATCTTTAATATAACTGACAGTTCAGATAATGTTGGGATCATTTAACACCTAATGTGGAAGCATTAAGATGCATTCAGTTCAGTTTGAGTTTTCTGACTAGATTATGTGAAGCAGTAATGAAATACAGGCAAATTGTTTTCTTCTTTTCTTTTCCCTCACTCTACCATTTCTTTAACCAGACCTTTACCTCACTTAAGAAATGGAAGGAACGTCTTCACACCTGTTGGAAATCCTATATTTGCCAGAGATCTGTTAACATTTCCAGATAACAGAGAGCATTGTCAAACAGGTAAATGATATGAAAGAAATTATTGATAACTTCTTTCTTTTTAAAATATGAAATACAGAAACATCACAAATCATAATCCATTCAGTAATCTTCATTAAGATGCTTGCAAATACCAGCATACATTCCGCGTGAGGTCTGCTGGTAAAAAGAGGGGGACATTCATTTTTTGTAAAAAACAGTTAAGAAAATTTCAGCAATGACTACTGTCTTGTGCTTGTTGTCTTACTTACACTTTCTCTACTTAGATGTACTAGAATTTTTTTCTTTTTTAAATTACTGCAGCATTGTCTTATTCCCAAGCTCTTGTAACCAGAAATTGACAATCATGAGATTAGTTCTATATTTTTATTGCGGAAGTTACTCCTTTCGTTAGGCTGTTTTTCCAGTCCTACTCCTCTCAGAAATGTGTAGTGCATAGGTTGAAGTACATGCAGACTGACCCGATATATATGTTATGCTTAAATACTTTAGTAGTTGTAAGAATAAGCTTTCTATTTTTATGTAAATTTCAGTTTAGGGGACTATCATCCTTTCATTCTTTCAAACAATGCAGCAGTACCTACGTTTTCTTGCATTCTTTTTCTTAAATTAAGTAGTGCTGTTCCTTTATATGGAGAGTTGAAACCTGTAATTAGTTCAGGAAGCTTTACATTTTACTTCAAGGCTTCCAACTATCGAAATAGTCTACTCTGCTAATAAAAAACCAATTTTTAGTCCTGTTTGTTTTCAGAAAGTTAGATATTGCCAGAGACTTTAGCTATAAATTCTTCTTCATGTCCTTAAATTCCTTAAATTTAAGGACATGTCTTCTTCATGTCCTTAAATTCCCTTGGGGGAATTTAACAATGACATTGCTTGACATACAGCTTGCAAGACTATATTGTTAGACTTGGTACAGAACAATCTTTTATTAACAGCAGAGTCTTAACCTCAGTTGGATCATTAGCCTGTTAATGTTTTTTCCTTTGATAACACATTGAATATTAAGAAACATACTAGGAAACTGAGAGCACAATTCATCATTCAAGGAGGACTTTAAAAAGTGATCATTTATATAATTTCCTGAAACTTGGGATTTTATTATGTGTCTTCATAAATGTAAGATACCAAGAGAGTACTTTAGTTGAAAACACTGTCAATTATGCCAAAAAAGCAATTAAACAGACAAGTTTTTTTCTTTATGATGAAAACAGAAAATTGCATATTTATCTCAACCTCAGAATAAAACTTTGTTAAAAAAAAAAAAAAACCATTTACATGCTATTTCCCTTGGACTTATCTGAAAAGTTGTAATAATGATGCCTCAGAATTTACTTTTCAAATCTCAAGTTAGTTTGTTGTGGAGAAATTTCATGGTTTAAAAAATTACATTTTTCAGTGTTTGGTATGCTCTTGGGTGACACTATCATTATAGATAACTTGGATGCTGCCAACCACTACAGAAAAGAGGTATGTTTCAATTATTCTTGATATTTTATAATACGAATATGTTGTGTAGGTACATATTTAATACATTACAAACTTAGAATAAATGCCAAGTTTAATGCTGCATTAGCTGTAAGTGTGCTCACTGTCTGTAGGCCTCAAAGCACATAACAGTGAATGAAATCTCTATTGCTGGTACTGACAAAATTACCTCCATTCAAAAAATTCTGTTCTGTGAATGTTGCCATGATGCGTGGGACCATGTTTTTAAAGATAAACATTTTCAGTTTTGCTGTTAGTGTTGCAATGCAAGTTCTTCAGTACTTGCCTAGTCCCTGTATGTATAATAAAACATAAGAGTATGAGGCACACCATGAAATTTCAGGTCCACTTGACTAAAAATTTGATTGTGGAACTTACTAGATCTTTTTGTGACTCATTTTATTTAGGTTTATTGGTACACATTTTAGCAGGCAAGAGTCTCTGAAGATGCCCTGACACTGAGCACTTTCTGTTTCAGCTGACGAGTTTGCTAGAGTTGAAATAATAATTCAGTATAAGAACATAGAACAGTAATGATTGCCATTGCATCATAGCAATGAGCTTTTTCCTCAATATAGATCTAAATTCTGCCTTGAGAGTTCTGGTAAAGCCTGAGAACTCAAACCCAAAAAATCTAGTCTTCATGGTTATTGATAATGCTGCTTAATTTTAATATATGCATTCAGCTACTTGAAAGCAAAAATTATGACATGTAATTTCATAAAA